AACCTGGACCTCCCCCACTGCAACTTGAGACCATTACTCTTTGTTCTGTCACCAGTACAATCTGCATTATGTCTCAGTTTGAGTGACAATTAGCCCTTTGCTTTCATGATCACTAAGCTAACTACAGTGGTGTGAAACCTTTTAGCACGGAAACCTCAAAACCAGCAGTGCTTGGACTATTTCCTGTTCCAGGAACTGATTAGGGTTGCTGTCAGACATTGCACTTTTCTCAGGACACCAATATGGACGTTTGTGTGCAGGGGTTTAATAACAACAAGCTTATTTGATGTCCATCCCCTGAAAATCTGGGAGTGAGCCAGTGATGGTTTCAGTCAACCACCTGAGAGCTTTGGGCACGTAGTAAAGCTCAGTGAGGCCCACCAAAATGGCACCTGAAGGGGTTGCTGGTGGGGCAAGGGGATGAGGAGGGACATGGGGCCGTGTTTGGGGAGGGGTGTTTTAGAGAATATATGTAGAGGGAAAGCGTGATGCAACTATGGTTTCTTTAGGAAACGGTTTTATTTTGCTGGGATTTTCTTGAGGTTTCTTTGGAGTTCTGGGGTTTGTACAAACATAAGACTTTTCAAACAAACCACAGGAGATGCAATCTTAGCAAACGGAACCTAGTGTCTTTGATTTGCTGAAACTGATTGAATCCAATTAGCAAGTTTTGTACAGCTCTAAAATAAACCCACTTCTTATAGTAACTCCTTAATTCCATACACTCAAGCTGGCAGTCAAAAATATCCGGAGGATAATACAAAAGCTGATTGATTGCTAAATCCATATTATAATGACATTACTGAGAGCCAGTTTAAGAAAAACAAATCCAGAATCAATACTATGTACTGCTCTTTGCATCTCCCACTATGACACTGTCTTTGGTAGACACCGCTGTACCTTTCTCAGAAACAGATTAAACCACTCATTTGTAATCACACTGGTATACCAACATTGATCATATTCTCAGTTACTAAAATATAAGATAGGTTTCAGAGTAGCAGCCGTGTTAGTCTGTATCTGCAAAAAGAACAGGAGTACTTGTGGCACCTTAGAGACTAACAATAGTCTCTAAGGTGCCAC